AGTTCAACAAATCCTATCTGCATTCATAAGTTCAGCAAATAGACAATAAAACACCACCAAGGAAGGAGGCTGTAGTGCATATATAAAAGATATTGATGCTTAAAACCAGAGAAAAATTTCAAGTGCATATCACCAAGATCAGTGAGAAGAAGAACTAAGGAGAGGGAGAGTGGAGGAAGAAGAAAGTAGCCTTGCAGATGTGAAATATTCTTTTCAACAGAGATGGTAGATTTTAGTCAAAACTGAATAAAAGTATGCCTTACTCCCCTAGAAGGAAGGGTGAGCAGAAGAGTTGGCTATGTGTAAGCTATTAACAGCATATATAAATGTAAAAAAATAAATCACATTTTTGCATTACATCCTAAAGACAAGTCAGAGAGGTTACTGCTACTGATCCACACTTATTACCTTTTAAAATGAAAAGTTACCCTTGGCCTTTGCACCATTTAATTGCGTGGGTTGTATCAAAATAAGTTTCATTTACCCGAAAGAAGAAATGTCAAAGACAGCAAGCCCAGGATCTACACGGGAGAAACTTTAATGAAATAAGCCCCAGAACGAAGGTCCTATTATCAGTGGCCATTGGGTACTTTGACTTCCAGCTCAACCTCTATTAGAGCAGATGAGTGACATGTTGATACTAAGAAAGGCAGGGTGACCTACTGATACTAGACATACTCCTCACATACGGGGGACCAGAACTTAGCCACTGACTCATTACGAGATGCTCAACAAAGCACTTAAACTCTGTATTGCTCCATTTGTAAAATGTGGATATTTGGCTTCTTTTTATCTTATGGGGGCATTACAGAGGTATTCTAGGAGTTCTTTGGGTGGTACCTGTAAGAATTAGAGAAGGCAGTCAAGTACATAAGACAAGGTGGCTGTTGGTGGTAGCCTCATGGATAAGTTACTAAAGCTGTACGGGTAAGTTACCCTTTCTGTAAATTAAGGGAGTTGGGCCACATGATCTCTAAGGCCTCTTCCAGCTCTAAATCTATGATCACTATAGAGCTTAATTAGCAGCATTTCAGAAACAACGCTTCCAATTCCATAGCTTTTAAATTCCAGGAGAGGGCAGTATGACATCAAAATTCATTACTATCTTAACATTAAAAAAGCTTCACCATCAGCTGTTCATTGCTGCCTTCAACTCACCATTTCTATTTGTTCACATGAGATATACCAATCTAATGTTCTTCTGTAAAACAAGTTGGGGGGAGAGGGAGTTTGTATACCATAAAATGTACAGTCTTATAGTGCACTTCACCATAATCTCCCTCCTTTTTTAGGGAGAGAAGGGGAACAATACTAAGGCAATTTAGTTGATAAAATGGTCGTCCTTCATGGACCCTGAGGACAGCATTAGAATGAAGCTATCGGTCTTGTACTAGACTTTTAAAAATGAGAAATAATTTGATTAATTTACTATGAAGTTATTTCCTACCTTCCCATCCTCTTCTTTACTGCACTTTCTCTTTGCCTGAGTTTCTCCTAGTCCATAGAACCTCCCCGAGCATATTTATAATACTGTAGTGATTACCTAACGTAAAGAATTATTATTAAGTAGTTTTGGATTAGCATACATACCTGACTTGCCTACACTTATTTTCAGGCTCAAACTACTTTTTTGATCTCATGGATCTATATATGCAAAACTCACCCTACATTTAATTGCCCTGTGGCAATAAATTTTTAATAAGTGCATGTGTTTAATTTCTGTCTTTAGCTAATACAGTCAACATTGTCTCAAAAGGATCAGACTATGCCAGATTTTAGAATAAATGGGCAGAAAAAAAATTAATATAGTGGTAAATAGATGTCAACTTCTATATTTGCTATGGGCAGGAAAACACCAAGAACTTTAAAATTTTATAACCATGCTGGTAAAATAAGGAAATGGAAGATGTAATAGTGAAAGTTGTTAGTGGCAAGTATCTACCTACTTTGGAAAAAATGATGCAAATGAGTGGGTTGTGTACTGTGGTTCATATCTCACTTAGGTTTCAGTGGGATTCTCTTTAATTCCTAAATGAAAAGATAAAGACAACTTTTGGTCTACATCCTGTTTAACTCAGTTAAGATTTCTGGCCTAACTTAAGAAAGGAAAGGTAATCTAGATCATTTCATGAGGTGTCTATAAAATGACTTAATACAGGCCATACCCAACTAATAAAAGGGCTGTGTATGTTACAAAAATTCATTTGTAAGTGGATTGTTTGGGGCTGAATACATTTTCCCAGGGAATTGATGTCCCATATGGTGGATTCCCATGTTAGTTCACAATTACCTATAATATACCTAAAGAAGAGTATTATACTAATACTACTGTACTATTTGTATCACACCTAACAATGCACTGGCAGTATTTCTATGGAAAAAATGTACCACACAGACTCCCCTTATTTCCACTTAACGCCCTAACAAGACAACAGAGATTCAACCTCTTTACATCTGCTGGATATTAGGGTCTGGGGCTCCCACAGAACCCAGTCTATGATGGTGGCTCCAGCAAGGTTGGATTTAGGGAAGGCTGAGGAATGGAAATATGGGTTTTGGAATGTCAGTGGCTGAGAAGGTAGGATAGGGACCATGATGAATAAATTCATATGCTACAGATCCGGCCACCAGGACAAAGTGAAAACCTGGAAATGGGGTTGACTAAATGTGAGTCTAAGGCAGCACGGAGTCTACAGTAGTGAGGAAAAATGTGAAGGAAATCTCCTGGAATAGTGGAGAGGGAAGGGAAATTCCTGTGCCCATGCAGCAGAGAAGGGCATTTTACAAAGGGGTTGGAAGTATGTTGAAGAGAGTCTATATTCTAAAAACCTAATACCTTAAGAAGGCTAAAGGGACATCAGAGGCAATGAGAATCTAGCTTGTGAGTAAGGTCCATACCTGGATCTATGTTACTCTTTATGCACCATTGACTTTTTAGTTTCATATACTTACAAGGTCTATAATGAATACCAATTACAATTACATTTTCCTTCAATAAACTGTAGGAAGAAGTATGAGAAAATCATATTTAGGTTAAACAGGCACCCAGAGGGGAACCTTCACTTAAATGCTCAGCATAGAGCCTATTCCATTATCACCATTCAATAAAAATTCAACAAATAGTTTATCGGTTCTGTTTAACAACTTATTAAGCATCTATCTTTTAAAATTACATTACATTGTAAATTGTTTCAATCACATCTTATAGTAACTCTAACCAGGGAAAAAAGTGAGTTGGGAATAATAAAGAATGGATCAGAAATTTTAGGGATTGTCTCTTCTATTTTAAAGTTAAAGTTCATCTTGCCATGGTGGAGTTGATTAAATTAGCAATATTAGGCTCTAAATGAAAACTATCATAAGGCATTGTTATAAAGAGTGTTGGTAGCTTAGCAAACTTTATTGATGTTGAAAGGCACTGTACTTCAAAAAAAGAAAAAGAAAAAAGTGTTAGTCTCAGGGCTTTGGGTACCTAATTTTGACTCTTGGCCTTTATTTTTACATATATATATTATATATGTATATTTATAATATACATATATATATAAAATTTGGACTGAGCTGAATATCAGATATCAGATTGAACTGCCCTAATATGTATTAAGCCCAGAACTAAATCTAAATATTTATACTTCAAAAAATGAACTAGTTTTTGTTTTTCCCTAAAAAACACATTACTACTGCCTAATTAATCAGTCCTGCTCAGATGATAATTTGGTATACTGGGAAAAGCACTGGACTGGGAGTCAGAGCATTTAGGGTCTAATACACTCTGTGATCCTGGGCAAATGATCTAATCTTTTGGGGCCTCAATTTCCTAATTTGTAAAATGAAGGGCTAGGAGGCAGCATGGTACAATGGAAAGAGTCAGAGGAAGTGGGTTTGACGTCCTATTGTGCTTGTGTTCCCCATGGGCAACACAGGAACTTAACTAGATCTTTGTCTAAAGTTCTTTGTCTAAAATAAGGGGTTAGAACTAGGCTACCTCTCAGGTTCCTTTTAGCTCTTAAGGCTAGATGACATTCTTGATTCTTTCTAGCTCTATTGTTCTGTGATTCTGTGAGAGGTGATGCCATCTATTCCCTCTAAGGAATAAAGAAAAGATGATAGTTTGAGGAACTGGGCAGCCTTTCCATAGCATCTATATAGACTCAGTGTAGCTTCTATGTTTTTTTCTAAGCCATCAAGCCAGAATACTGAAAAAGTCTCTGAGCTAAGCCATTAATTAACTTGGTTGGATTCCTGGATTCTCTTTCTCACTGGTGGAGGTTTTTACTTCTTAGCTAAGTGCTTTTATAGTGTTGCTAGGGCGTGTCTTAGCTGGTACAAGAGATGCTAGAGATAGCTATGTTTTTATGAGAGGTCAATGGATCCATATTGACCTCTTAATGGAGTCTTAAAACTTTTCACTAGCAAAACACTCCGTCTCAGTCTCATGTGGAAGATGCAAAAATGAGTATTATAATAATTTAAAATAATTCATAGCTAAAATTAGAGCATTTTGAAAGCCACTGATGGAAAACTCTCCTTCTAGAGTGCAAATACCTAGAACTAGGTTCTTGCTCTAGGGCTTTGCTCTGACCTCTACAGTATTTATTTGTATTTTTAAAAAAATTTCTTTCTTTGAAAAGGTGAGCAAATAACATCTATATTTAGATCCCTGAAAGGGCACAATGGTATTAAATGATACTAGATGGGCATATCAACTGAAGGCAACCTCAAGATGATAGTAATATCCCGGTAAATGGACCTTATAGCACCTTACAGTGGATGAGCAACAATGATATGAAAATAAAATGGAGCAATCGTTTAATGGTGTTTGGCCTCCAAGCAATGGAAATCAGGGCTTTTGATGGCAGACACTGTATGTGATTCCTTTGGGGTCATCAACAGCTTTGGGGCCTGGGAATTGTTATTATAGTCTATATCATTAAAGGCAATGGATAATCTGATTTTATGACGAAACAAAAGCATTTTGCTTATAGGGATTGGCTACTACATGAGCTTGCCTACCACTTTATTTTATCCTCCTGAAGTTCTGGATTCAAACATTAAATCAAAATACAGATGTGCAAACACACATACAATAACAACAACAAAAACCAAACCATAAACTGCATAGAGGGAGACAAATGTCATCTTTTTTGAAGTAAACACTTAAAAAAAAGCGAGAATGTCCTGTACTCCCTCCATCCCAAGCTACAGTGGTTTTTTAATGTCCAAAGAACCAATGGAATAATGGAAGAAAGTGTTTAAAAGTGATTATGGTAGGCTCCATGCCCTCTCTTTGGCCATTCCTCTTCCACCCACCTCCGCAAGACTTTTTCCACATCGACTCTATGATAGAGCCTACACAGCTCAATCAGTTGATCCACAGTTTTGTGACTATTCCGGAGCAGGAACTCCAAGGTAGGACTCCGTTGTTTCTGTTCCAGAAAACACAATTCATCATAGTGCATTCCCCATTTGCTTGCAAAATTTCTCCAGTTTTTTACTGTTGGGTGACACGGATCCAGCTTTATTCTGATCACATCTAACAAGTCCTCGTCGTTGAGCAAGTCACTGATGTTGGGGGCCTGGGGTGAGCATAAGGAACATGTGCAATTTTCTTGGCAAGTGCTGTTCTTTATATCTGTAGGGGAGAAATAGTAAGTTCCAGTAAGTCAACAAGAAAACCACACACAGGTGGGTTTTTTGCTTCCTTTTTTGAGACTGGTTTTCCCCATCTCACTCAGGCTGGAATGGCTGCAAGAGCTACTGATGGGCCTACTCCCACGTGGATCAACCAGAGAGCTTTGATCTGCTCCATTTCCAATCTAGAATGGTTTGCCCCTTCTTGGGCAGCCTGGTGGCCCCCCACTCCTGGGAGCTCACCATATTGGCAGTGGACTTAGTATGGATGCTCTACTGGCTTAGCTCGCTGCAGCTAAGAATTTCTGAGCTCAAGAGATCCATTAGCCTTAGTCTCTCTCTGATATCAGAAGTTATAGGTGTGCCTCAACACGCCTGGCTATCTCTTCTAGCTTTAATTCCACTATACTCTGAGTTGTCAGTGGCATTCAAATAAACATGACATGCGATAGTCAAGGAAAATGAATATTTCCAGCATTTTTTTTTACTAGATCTATGATTTCCTCAATGTGGGGGAACTCCAGGGAGGAACTTCCTCTACAGCCAGAACAAACCATCATTCACTTCAGCCCCCTCATTTTATAGAGAAGGAAAGGGAGACCTGGAGAAATTAAAGGTCATATTGTCAGTATGTATCAGAAATGAGACTTGAACCCAGGTCTTCTCTATTCCAAGTCCAGCTCGTTATTTATCACACCATGCTGCCACTGTTTTCTGCACATGTATATAATGGAGATGCATATTATAAATAATGGCTATATAATGGAAATATATATATATACACCTATTTGGCTATTATGGATATATATGCACATATATTATATGTATCCATAATATCCAATACATATGTGTATATGTGTATGTATCTCCTTTTACATACCCAGGAATTTGCATTCCTCTACAATGAGGTTGCCAAACTATAACCACCTGTTTTTGTATTGCATGAGAGCTGAAAACAGTTTTTACTTTAAATAATATTTCATCATATTTAAATATGTAAAAACAATTTTTAGCTCTCAGGCAGTACAAATGCAGGCAAATGGCCCTCTAGCCAGAGGTGACTCCATGAGGATCAGCTGCTGTCCCAATAATGAGGAAGGGTTTGCCCTTAACTAGCCACAATCCCCTTCCTTCTTCCCCCCCACTTTTTTTTGTGTGAGGCAATCGGGGTTAAGTGACTTGCCCAAGGTCACACAGCTAGTATGTGTCAAGTGTTTGGTCTGAGGCTGGATTTGAATTCAGGTCCTCCTGACTTCAGGGCCAGTGCTTTATCCACCGCACCACCTAACTGCCCCTAAACCACTTCCTTCTTAAGAACTTCAAGGATCATACTCCCTTCCTTGACAGAGATGGCCAATCCTCTATGAGTCAACAGATAGATGGTCATTGGGAGTTGCTGTGGCCAAAAACCTTCATCCCTTTGTGGCCGCCCTGGCAATGAGTTTCTTTGAACTTAGCTAGGCTGGTCCTCAGATGACAGAAGTATGGTTGGTTTGCTGCTGGGTCTGTATGTAAAGCCTTTTTTTCCTTGGTAAGATGTGCCTGTCAGATCTTGTATGCTGCTGGCACAGCCTTCCAAGTTCAGGAGTAACTTCCATGGCACAATTAGGCATCAGAGGAGGACTCTGGCAGAAGAACCCCTTTCCTGGTCCTTTTATAACTTTTTCAGAGTAACTAGTAACATGCATTTGTGAGATAGTTGGACTGAGTTAGGAATTCCCAAAAGGGTTTTCTCTGAACTAAGATAAATTGCCCATCTGTATATCAAAGTTACCCTCATTAGCACCATGCTCTACCCCATCTGAACTAACCAGCCCAGGCATGTACATAGCCCCACTCCTCCCTGCCCCATCCCCCTTCCAATTTTAAAGTCAAGCCTGACAGCTTTTAAATGCCAAACACGGTACTTTAGGGTGTAAATGACTGAAAAACCCTTAAACAGTTTTTTAAAAACATACACACAAACTTGAAAATCCACCCTGTACACATATTTGAAAATGAGTGATAATTGACAATGTCAAAATACTGATTTTAAAAAAATTATGGCCAATTTATCATTCTTCTGTTTTTTCTTCACCCATGGGGCTCTCTTTGAAGCCGAGCCAAAACTTTAGCTATGTACATGGGATGAGAATCAGGCTGAAAAAAAAGAGAAAAAAGAAACCCAACAGCTGTAGATTCTTCTCCCATATAAAAACACAATTCTTCTGCAGCTTGAGTTTTCTGATTCAATGCAAGACAGTATTCACATATGGGATGCTTTTTACGTTGAAGGTACATTTAAGTATCTTACTGAGAGGATGAAGGAAAATGGAGCTAGTTGGTGATCGTGGTTGGCAAGCAATTCACACCTGCTAACTTTAGTTATCTCTACATAACCAGGGCAAAGAAGCTAACTCTGCCACAATACTCTGAAACATCTAAAAGATTCCACTTGGGTCAGGTTAAAATTGTGATCGACTATTAAGGCATTAGCTCCTGTCCATGTGAGTAGAGGCCACAAGGACCCTTAGTGAATATCACATCTCGTTCTGGCCTCTCTAACTGGAAGAAATAGGTATCTCAGAGTGACATATTTTATGATTCCTCTCTGAAGCCATGCTAGACCCTTCCAAGTTACTAATGCCTCCCTTCTACTCACAAAAGCACTTTGCCTTCTCATGTAGTGGCAGGGATAAGGCCTGGATCTATGATTCCACTGGAACAGGAAACTCCCTCTACCAATGAAGGTCAGCACCTTCTTTGCCTGGGATGTACTGAAAAGTTTTTGGTTCACAGCCTGTATGCTTTGGTCTTCCTGGTTCTGAGGTCACCCTCCCCACTCTATTCATGATGCCACATTATCTCTCTTATCATTATCATGTGTTACTTTACACTACTGTTACTTGATAATATGTACTTTATATATATTTGTTGTACTTTGATTTGGCTGTAATCTCCCCAGGGACAGAGACCATGTTTAAAATGTGTACCTCCTCCACCATTTTGCAAAGAGGGGCACTTTGCATAATGGTCAATGTTCTGGGAAGACTGGATATCTGTAAAAGTAATTCTAGTTTGAATAGTGCTTGGGCCCCTAGGGAAGAGTTTTGTTAAGAGAGAATTGATAAATGGTGCTGTGGCACTTGATATATGATATATTCATATATATATATATATATATATTTGTTAATCAGAATGGACTAAAAGATTGGAAAATAACAACACTGAGGAACACCAACATCCAAAGATTAAGTAGCTTAAAGAGAGAAATCTTCTTCAAGTAAATGAAATAAATACACAGAAAATCACCCTTATCTTCATGAGTGGCAGAGAAAGGAGACACAGACTTCAGCTGTAATGTAAGAGATTTAGGTTAGATGTAGGACAGAACTTCCCAACAATGAGAGTTACATAAGATCAGAATGAACTAATAAGGGGTATTATCAAATTTATTCTAGAAGCCTTTAAAAGTAGTATTGATGCCCATCACTGCAAGATTATGTATAATGTTGTGTGAATATGGTGTAAAAGTTTTAAATAATCTCTTCTGGCTATGTACTTGTATGATTCTATGCTACCTTTGTTTTTATATTCAAGAAAAAGAAATAAGAAAGGAAAAGAATAATCCAGTTATTAATGTGTTAGTAGAAGTACTTTAAATCTTCATTTTGTAAGATAATTTTATTTCTTTAAGTCACTGGTGAGAGCATGCACTAGTTTCGGTTTAAAAAGGCATGATGAGCCAAAAGAGTGATTGCCTTTGTGGGTTTTGTTTTGTTCTTTGTACTTCAATCACTAAATTGACAAACCAGTTAGTATATTGGAATTCACTTGAGCTGGCAACATCAGTGAATTTAAAGCAGCTCGTAAGAGTCATAGACTATAATTAGCCCCTCTGAGGGGTGTGGGAGGTGGAACATGTTTTATCTACCAGATACATTTTGTCCTGCCATACTTAAAAAACCCATCATGTAAAGTCACACATGAAAGGATAGAGTGGGTAATGCCAAAAGGAAAAAATAATAATGGGGGAGGGGCGATTTGGAAATCACAAAATCCAAGTCAATCGACAATTTTAATGAATGTTAATATGTTGGATAATTGTCTAAAGTCATGCAAAATTTTATTAGCAGGTAGAAAAGGCACTCATTAATTGTTCATTGATTATGATTTCTATTTTCCTCAAGTAATAGGACAAATTCATTATTATTGCTTAAAGAGATGTTAGAACCTAAAGGAAAAATGATGATGAGAGAAAAGGTGTTAGTGCTTAATAATACATAAACAGAGGTATTTTTGGAAAACAGCAGAGAATTCATTGAAGGGGTAGATTTAGATTCAAAGGGGTAGGTGCTCTTTGAATTTTTTTAAAGTTGATATTAAAGGAATGAGGCTACTAATGGTCAAAACTCATCTGGATTCTATAATAACAATCACCTAAACAGGGTCTCCTCCCCATTATCTAGTTTTGCTATGGCCTGGTGCCCCCCCCCATTTTGAACTTTGAAGCTGAAAGCAAGAATAATTCCCACCATTCACATATTAGGCAGAGAATTAATTAACCCTTATTAAGTACAGAAGATACGATGGACATTTCTTATAATAAGCCAAAACTCTGAGAAGATTTGATACCTATGACACTAGTTTGAATACTATTTGGGAATATAAAGAAGGATTAGAAAGAGAATATTGAGAATAGTATTGTGGTAATCTATGATAGGGCAGTTAAGTGACACAAGTGAATGAAGTTCTGAGCCTGGAGTCCAGAAGATTCATCTTGAGTTCAAATATGGCCTTAGACACTTACTAGCTGTGTGACTTTAGGCAAGTCATTTAACCTTGTTTGCCTCAGTTTCCTCATCTGTAAAATGAGCTGGAGAAGGAAATGGCAAATCACTCCAGTATCTTTGCCAAGAAAACCCCAAATGGAATCACAAAGAGTTGGACGTGACCGAAAAGCGACTGAACAAAGAAAACAACAAATCTATCATAAGGAGAGAGATTTACAGAAATTCTCTAACCTATGGTTGAGTGACTTGCCACAGTACAGTTAGGTAGGTAAACCATAAGGGCTATTATATGCTTGTTATTTAGATGAGAGAGAAATGTCTTACATTTTCTACATTTGGAAAGTCTGCCTATGCCATCTGTCTATCTAAATCCAGCTCAAATGGATTTTTATAAGATTTTACATCAAGATCAAATTGTCCCCTATGGATATATACACCCAAGTATGGTAGAAATCTTTATAAAATTAAAAACTGGAAATATCATGCATATCCACTGCGGAGTAGGGTGGAGTAGGGTATTAAGCATCGGACTTAAGAGTCAATTAGAGCTGACTTTGAATCCTATCTCAGATACTTACTAGCTGTATGGTCCTGGGAAAGTTATTGAACTTCTTGGGTCTTATTTTCCTCATATCTGAAATAAGGGCGGAGGTGAACATGATGAACTCAGAGGTCCTCGACAGCACTTACAATTATGATCCTGACTTCCAATCTTTGTCTTTTTTGGAAGCGAGGTAAACTACAGGGTGCTTAAACTAGCTTAAAATGGAACTAAGACTTTTGGGACACCCTGCACTGCATTATAGGGGTAGAAAGAGAATACTGACAAATTCTAAATTTCATTGTAATTGCCAGAGATAAAAGACCTTGTTAAATCTTTTCTCCCTTTGCTACCCATTATATTGTAACCTGCTTCAGGTAAGGAACTATCTTGCTAGTTTTTATTTGTATCATCAACGCTTAGCACAGTACCTGACACATTTCAAACATTTAAGTTTCCCTCTGTCTCTGTCTCTCTCTCTCCTCTCCCTTTTTCTCTCTCTCTCCTCTCCCCCTTTCAATCTTTTGCTCTCTCATTCCATTTTAGAAAACACACGATGAGAATCCATTTTCATGGGGTATAGAGTTTTAAATGAAAGGCACAATGAACATATATAAAGAGAGGAACAGGACCTGTGATTTCACTGGCATAGGGAACTCCCAGGTGAGGAAACTCTCTCTACCAATGCAAGTGGACACCTTCACTTCAGTTGACAGTCTTGGAAAATTACCTAGATTATGGAGAGGTTAAAAAATAACTTGTCCATGGTCACATAGCTAGTATGTGTCAGGGGTGATCCTTGATACCAGGTCATTCTGACTCTGAGGCCAGCTTTCTATCCCTAAATCACACTTCCTGTCAATGTACTATAGCATCACAGAGTATACAGCATGTAAATGTCATTTTTTAAAGGACAGACACAGGAGAAGAACAAAAAGGATGAAATAATAAAGTTGCTGGTCTCTGGTCAATATCGCAAAAAGTTCTCTCCAACAAATCTTGACTAGAAACTCTTGAGCCTATTTATATTACTTCTGTCCTTGCTTAATTCAATTATTCAAGTATTAGGGAACTCTAATTTAACAGGCACTTTCCCAGGTAGAATGGGGCCTGGAAGGCCTTCTAGAGAGCACGCTTCTATCAAAATGGTATGGTTATTTGCTTCAAAAATAATGAGTCATCTTTCATTATTTAGAATATTACTTTAAATGACAGTTTGGAATTATGACTTGAGCATTCATGCCTGTACTATTTTTCAAATGAAAAAAAATCTGAACCAACTATACAAGAGTGGAAGATGTTTCCCAGTGCTCACGTAATTCAGAAAATTGCTGAATGTATTATTTTTTAGGTGCTGCCTTGGTGGAAATTTACACCTTTATGAGGGATTCAGGCACCAAATATGCATGCAGTTAGAAGCAACTAGTAAGATCTAATGTAAAATCAGACTGCATTTAGCTTTTTTTTTTTTTGGCTTGCAGACTGCAAAATACTGGTCAATTAACAGTTAATTGGGCATTTGAACAAGACTCAGAAATCACAAAGGTCATTATTAATTGTGCCTAGAAAATGGTTGCAATCAGGATGTTGGCAGTGGATCACAGATTAAGTTAATAGATCTACTTGCAGGTGAGATGCTCTTTTATCTTGCATGTTCCGGCTGCTAGAGAACTATTACCATGTGGGTGTTTCCCAGAACTTTATAGAGGCACTGAAGCACAATTGTTAGATCTCAAACCACTCCTAGTGATGCTCCCCAGGTTAACTGAGGCTGGAGCTGAGACATCTGACAACTTAAAAAAAAGATGTGGTTAGCATTCAGCATTTTTATATTGGGGTTTTTGGAGACAGAGTCGATGGATGACAAAATGATCCTTTGGCATATATTAAAAAAAAGATGTAGTTAGCATTTTTATATTGGGGACTTTGGAGAAGTCAAAGTCTATGGATGAGAAAATGTTTCTTTATCATATATAAGATACTTTAAATTTTAAAGGACTTGTAAAATGAAATGTATCTGTGTATCAAAGTTGAGTTAACTATTTTTCATTACGGATGTGCAAGCACACAGCTTTTCTCTGTGTGGTTTCCAATGTGGTTGATAGCAAAACTATTTAAATGCCACTTCATGGTTTTGACAAATTAACTGTCTAGTCATGTGTGCACACACAACAGATGCAGTCGCTACGTTGAGAGCTGGAAGGTGATAAAGAATTATTCTTATCATAATCTCAACCCAGCAACAGGAGGCCAGTTTGGTGTGCTTATAGAAGGACATGGGGAAGAGAGACACAGAAGCGGCAAACATGGATAGGCTACAAGTTGCATCACTGGAGGGAGTACCCATATTGATGAGATAAAAAATGATTTTTTTTTTTTTATCCAGAAGAAACTGGCTTACCAGCTCTGGTGGGTTTCTTAATAGCTTAGGGTCGACATTATGAATATTGATTTTTCTAATGGTACTATTTATTTCTACATCATATAACCCAAAGTGACTGACTTTTCGGGGTTTTATGTCAGTATTTTAATTCTCATCTTTCTCCCATCTCATAGTCAATCAGGCTTTCATTTCCAACTAGACTACTGTCTAGCAATCTTCACCCTTCCCCATCTCTCAACTCCAATGAGCTGCTTCTAATCTGTTAAGGATTGTGAAAGATCATTTGCAGATCATCAAAAAATACACTAGGAAAAATCATAAGCTCGAGAGGTGGAAAGGATCTGAGAGACCGTCTATTAACCTATTTTAGGTCCAATTAACCTATTTTTACAATTGAGGAAACCAAGGCTCAGAGAAGTTAATTTATTTACACTCTCTCCCTTCTCAAATTATCCTTACTCATTTATGAATGAGTCATATCCCCCAACAGAATATAAGATGCCTGAAGGCAGTGTTTTCTAGGTGGTCCAGTGGACAGAGCACTGGACCTGGAGTCAGAAAGACCTGAGTTTGAATATTGCCTTAGATCCTTACTGTGTCACCCCAAACAAGTTACTAACCTGTATTTGACTCAATTTCCTCATCTGTAAAATAGAGATGATAATAGCACTTACTTTTCAGGGTTGTTGTGAGGATGAAATGAGATAACACATGTAAAAGACTATTATTGTGTTATTTATTATTCCCAGCACTTCGAAAATGCCTTGCACATAAGCAGGAGCTTAATAAATGTTTGTTGAGTTAAACTGAATTACTCAAAGTCATACAGATAGTAACTGGGGGTAGAGGTGCAATCAGGATTTGAACCCAAGTCTTCTAATTCCAAGATTCAATGCTCTTTCCACTAACAGCACATTGCCTTTTAGTAGTGAATTTAAGATTAAGATTGTCTCTTAAAATTTATATGATACATCCACAAAAGTTTGCTCCACTGTAATCAATTTTTTTCATTGTGATTTATTTAATGACTTAGTTTAAAATAAGTTTGGGCTTGTCTGTAAAAAAAAAAGAAAGAAAGAAGGAAAGAAGAAGGAAAGAAAGAAAGAAAGAAAGAAAGAAAGAAAAAGAAAGAAAGAAAGGACTATGTGGACAAAGATTAAGTCTTGCTTTCATATGTAGACAAACATCAACCAAGCTATTTCAGGGATCTTGGAGGCTACTAACTTATTATAGAAAACCCAAAGGGAGTTAAAAACTGAAATTAACACATAACATAGTGAGTCAAACTGGCACTGCCAAATAATTTTAAGGCTGTTCAATTTTAAAAGTTCACTGTCTCTAAGAGTTTTTATCTTAAATTTTATCTTTTGTAATTTTTATCTTAATGTAAGTTAGCTACAGGCACATGCCGCATGTCTAGGTGGTGTAGTGGATACAGTGCCCAGCTTGGAGTCAGGAAGACATCTTCCTGAGTTCAAATTTGGCCTCAGACACTTAGTAGGCTAAGTGACCCTGGACAAGTCACTTCACTCTATTTGCCTCAGTTTCCTCAGCTATCAGATGAGCTGGAGAAGGAAATGGCAAACCACTCCAGTATCTTTGCCAAAAAAAAACCAAACCTTAAATGGGGTCGGGAAAAGTCAGACATGACTGAAATGATTGAACAATAACAACAATCTCTGATCCTAGATCCAGAGTTCTTTTCTTACACTGTGATGATGCCTCCTTGAGGACAAGACATTTGAAACTTCACATTAGAATAAACCAAGTTTTAGCAAATGGTAGTTTGGCAATTTCTCAAAATATTTCTTTCTGTTTTACAGATTCGTTTTCAGTTGGAAAACATTATTTTGTCAAATCCTTTTTTCTTTTCCTAAAACTGGCACGTTTTAAGCTGTCATTGCAGCTTAGACATCATTAAGGCCAAAAGGTTACCTGAAAGTGGATCCCCAGTACTGTCTGGATAGCCATTTTCTTCTTGCTGCAAACAAAAACAGCAAACTTTATTAAACTTACACGTACTATTGAACAAAGCTAATGATAATTATCCTAGCTAATCAGCAAGATGGCTATAAAATGTAGAATTTTGTTATAGGTTAATATATACTATATAAGGGAGAAAACATAGATAATTAATCTTCAATGATGTAAAATATATTTTAAATTTAAAGGATATATCCTTTTTAAACAAAAATTAAAGCATGAGTCGCTTAATTTTCTTTTTACATTATAGACAAGGGTATGCTTTCCAAAAAAACTCACAGGACATACTTTTAAGTTCAATCTACATTATTAACACTTTTCTTAAGTGACAATCATCTAAACAATAAATCATGCCCTGATTTGTAGAGTTTGCTGATTTCTTTTTTTCTCTTTCTTTCTTTCTTTTTTTTTGGCTAGGCAATGGGGTTAAGTAACTTGCCTTGGGTCACACAGCTAGCAAGTGTTATGTGTCTGAGGCCAGATTTGAACTCAAGAGTTTGCTGATTTCTAAGGTGTAAACACTCACAGTGAAAATCTAACAATCAGCTAACCAGTCAGAGCTGTCTCCAAAATAGAACATTGCTTATTTAATTATTTATACATGTTCTACCATATTGCCTTTCACCATAAATAAAATGTTTCTCATATATACTCACATACACACACACACATATATATACACACACATAAATATACATACACACATATTTAATATATTATAAATATATAAAATATATTTAAATATATAAATATGTAAAATATATAAATATATGTATGTATATATTATGTATGCACGCATGGATATATGAGTTGTACATAATATAACATTTACATGTATTTATATATTTTTACATATTTGTAGATTTGAATATATTTTATATATCATATATGTATGTATATATGTGTGTAAACATATGCATGTATATGTGGAGAGAAAGAGAAAGAATAATCTGGACCATATTATGGGTCCTAACTTAATGTAGTTTATTTTTATTTTAAAAGATTTTTAAAAAAATGTTTTTAATTCTAGTGTATCCCAGTCTCAGCATATTCAAAAGCAACACATTTATGATAAATTCACCTCAGTACAAAGCCCCCTTCTCTGTAGTACCCATTCCTCTTCCACCTGTGGTGAACAGAAGGACCAAAACCAAACAAAACCAAACAAAAAACTACACCTCCAATTGTTAGACAAGAGAATGCATTTTGCCAAAGAATTTGGAGGAAGAAAGGGGCACTAGTCTTTAAGACTATCAAAAACAAAAAAAGATCATACATCTATTCTAAAACTAGAAGGGGCCTTTGAGGTCAAGTCCAGTGCTCTCATTTTGTAGAAAAGGAAAGTGAGACCCAGCAATATCACAGTGACTTTAACCCAAGGTTGGAAGGAAAAGGGACTGAATCAGACTTGGAGCCCAGCTCTTCATTTGCCAAATGCCGTCTTTCCATTAACAAAATTTGAGTGGGGGACGTCTCCAATATAGTTCTTTCCAGAGACAAGGCTTTGTGTTTTATAACCTCTAGGGAACTGGACAACTAGGACAGCTAGTCTTAACGAGCTGTGTGATCTTGAATAGGTTGCTTAGCCTCTCTGAGATGCTGATTCCTAATCTATAAAACAAAGGGGTTGGCCGACATGATCTTAGGTCATTCCTTCCAGCACTAAAAATCTATAATTTGATGCCCTTTGCTATTAGCTCCAACTTGAGAGACTATTTTTAAGACAGGAAGGGGAACAAGAATGTATTAAGTGCCTTACAATTACGATCTCACTTGATCCTTAAATTTGCAGTTGTACTTACATCTGTGTTTCAGCTTCAGTATTAACATCAAGGTTCTTATTTTTATTACTTAGGATTATAGCATCATGGGAAAAGCTGGGGAAGGGAGCTCAAGAAATTATCAAGTCCAATGCCTTGTCTCTAGAAGGAGCTATATCGAAGACATTTCACAAAAGATTTGTTCATGGAAAGACCCCTGCATTTGACATAAGAGAAGCTGGACTCCAAGGCTAGTGCAGTCCCCTTTCCTTCTGACCTTGGGTTAAAATCACTGTAACCTTCCTGGGCCTCATTTTCCTTTCTCTACAAAACGAGAAAATTGGATTTGACCTCTAAGGTCCCTTCTAGCTCTAAATCTACGATTTTTTTTTCCTTAACAGTCTTCAAAGAAGACTCGCCCCCTTTTCTTCCTCTAAACTCTTTGATAAATGCATTCACATGTCTAACAGTTGGAGAGGTGTTTTGTGTGTGTGACTTTTTTTTTAAATGACTCACCTGCTTCAACTAAATCTCCTCCCCTCAAAACTGTCTTTAGTGGACTAAAGAAAAACTCCTCGCTGTCACTCATGCAATATCTTTTCATGAACTTGAAGGCTGTAATTTCCCCTCAGCCCCTCCAGCCTAGTAGCATTTTTTTGTAATGTGTACAGAGACAGTTGCTGAAGAAACAGAATAGATCCTTTTCCATCTGACCTTTTAGCTCTATACAAAGCTAAACATGTACATTCTAAAATTTTAGGGACCTCATTCACCAGGTCATGCAGAGGCCTGCCTTTTCACATCTTGCATGGTTTCAGAAACTGAGGATCATGGTACATTGATTTTTTCCATCTTAGTTATGGTTTCCTTACCACCACTGAATTTAAAACTTGGGCTGAAGGAATGGAAGCAGGAACTTTCTAAGGTAATGTTAAGAGACATGAATGGTTAGCACTTGTTCACATTTCATAGTAGCATTTTTGTAGCTTTTTTTAAAGGTTCACGAAGTACTTTACAAATATCTCATTTGATCTTCTCAATAACCCTAGGAGGTAGTTGCTATGATTACCCACTTTCTTTTTTTTACAGATGAAGAAACTGAGGCAGATGCTACTTAAGTGATTTGCCCATGGTCATACAGTTGGTAAGTGTCTGGGGCCAGATTTGAACTCAGGCCTTTCTGATGCCAGGTCTAATGCCCTATTCATTTCACTACCTAGATACCTCTTGTCAAGAAGGGGTGGTTATAAATATAAATGAAACTACTAATAACTAATATGTTATATGGAACATTTAATTAGAGAAATGTAAAATATTTCAGTAATTTTTACTGGAATTAAAACCACTGGTTTTTTTTTTTAAATCTTTTGAATGTTGTTTAAAAACTGTAGGAAGAGATACTGGCCTTTTGGATGGGTAGTTCTTGAAGTAAACTTGGATTAGATCACTTCTATGGGAGGTTTAGAGGAGGATATAGACAAGAGCTGAACACGATGAGAAAGTGTGGATGATTTGAGAGCTATGATGTTGGAGGGGATGCCCACATTGATGAACACTGATGAGATCACAACTCTACTGGGGTATTACTAACCTTTATCCTGAAAGTACTTTACTGAGCTACATGCCTGGGGCATGTATACATATATATACAGGTGGGGATTATAGCTAAAAGGATCATTAAGTAACTTGCTTAAAATTTCTAAATTTTTTTTTAACTGAACCTACAATTTCATTAGTTTAGGGAACTCTCAGGGAGATAACTCCCTCTTTCAACATAGGTCAGCAACTTTTCTAAAAAATTAGAGTTATTTGAGAGTTGCCTTGGAAAGTGACAGGCTAAGTGACTTGCTTAGGGTGGTACAACCAATGTGTGTTAGAAGGTGATGGGGTGCCCTAAGATCATGTCTCTGGATGCCTTCCAATTTCTCAGCAGGCCCCTGTCCTATGAGAAAATTATCTCTTGTTGCAGAACACATTCTCTTATCACAACAGACAGAGGGGTGCCTGGCTCAAGGATTTTTGTCCCTGGCTGGCCCAAGGATCTCCCTCCCACCAGATCTCCAAGATCCATGTCTCTGACAACTCCCTCAATGTCTGGTATGCTCCCTACACTTTCCCACCCATACCTCCCAGACACCTGGACCCTTAGATTACCTAATTAGCACCCCTGGCTTTCCTTTCCATACAAGCCCTTTTCCCTTTTCCATACAAGCCCCAGCACCATTCTCACTCTTTCTTGGGTTCCCTAAGGACTGTTGCCGGCTTTTGCTAAAGTGTTACAATAAACTTTTTGCCACTTGACTAAGAGAAGATCTGAATGTCTGAATTCCTTCCAGGCAACTGTCTTGGCATTCTTGGGGTCCCAGCACTCCCAAAAACCTCTTCAAAGAGGGTCTTGAACCCAGGGCTTTTTCCCTATGAAGGTGACTGTCCACTACTACACATGACCTCATACTTAAGGTTATTATGGAAGAGTCTGTACTCGTTGTTGAGGCAAACAGGGTGAAGTGACTTGTCCAAGGTCACAAACCTAGGAAGTGTCTGAGGCCAGATTTAAACCCAAGAAGATGAGTCGTTTTGACTCCAGGCCCAGCGCCCTATCCACTGCACCACCTAGCTGCCCTACTAGAATCTAAGAATCTAGAATTATATCTGCTCTGACCATTACCTTAGACAGTTTTCAGTTAACCTCTCAATTATAAAATAAAGTAGTTTTGTTTTTTGTTCTCACTTGGGTCGTAGGAATGCTTGTGGTTCATTAAACTGCTTTAATGATATCACTGATTTTTGAGAAGACAGATCCATTTATCTTAGAAAGGGAGGCGGTGCTCACAATTTATGATTTTAGACTCCAAATTCAAATGTAATCTAGGGCCAAAGGTGGGGAACTGCGGCCTCGAGGCTGATGGCTTTTGAAATGGGACCACAGTATCATGGCTCTACAGCTACGAGGAACCTCAGAAGTCAAAGTCCAACTGCCTAATTTTACAGATTGAAGAAAACTGAGACCTGGGGAAGTTTAAGTGACTTGTTATGGTCACATGGTAGGTGAGGAGGCAGGATCTGAACTAAGGTTCTCTGACTCCGCAGATTGTACTTTTAACTGTGTGAGCCCAGAAAAACTTGGATGATTTTTTTATAAAGTTTTCTAAAAATACTACTGTCACGAAACCACAATTCATTTCCTTTTTAAAAACTCCACTAAATTTTATTTAAATATCTTCTAAATATTTTAGTT